TGAAATAGCTTTCTAATAATGTTGAAGGCTGGAGAACAGAAAAGAACCAGAAGTTGCAGGGTGAGGGTTTTTTTTTTTCCTTTTCTGGTCCCAAAAAGAAATAGTGATTCAAGGTTGCTGGTCTTGAAAGGTCGGTGCAGCAACGTGGATGTGAAACCTGTCCGAGTTTCTGGGGCTTGTTATGGCAGTAGGAACTGGCCCTGAGCATGAATAAGCTAGATCTGCCCTGGCTGCTGGCATGAATCTCTCTCTAATGATGTTGTCTGTTTGGGGATGGATGCATGCTTTGATTGTTTCATCCAGGTGTGGGCTATTACTGCTTAAACCAAGGTTTGTATAAAGTCCAAAGAAAACTTCAGAGCTCTTTTCTGAATCAAAGCATTGGGTATGTTTGTGACAGTCCTTGAAACCTGATATTTTGGGTTTTTTTTTTCTTTTTTGCTTTCCTTTAACCACACCAGAGGACAGGACAGCACGAAAAGCTGGATAACCTCATCATGTAATAATCACAGCTTCTGTTTTTCCATCCACACTGTGAGTTTTACATCCATAAGCACTGAGAGTGCATTTCACCTGCCTGGCTCTGGTTGTATGCAGTGCAGGTAACTCTGCCTTGGGCTCCCTGTCATCTGTGGGACCCAGCACTGTGACGAAGTGAGTGGTCAGAGATCTGCTTTAGGAGGGCAGAGTCTCCACGTTGGGGGTCCCAGCAATGACAGCAAGTGAGTGAAGCTCCCCAACGCAGCTGCAAGCCCAGGCAGTGCCAGCCCAGCCCTGGAAGTTGTTCCATGGGCTTCATTAATCCTGCCCCAAGGGCAGCAGCGTGCCCATAGGACATCCCTCAATGGCTGGTAAATATTGAAAATGGCTGAGGTATTTAGGCAGCCCTTCCCTGTGCATCCTTCCTCTGATCGGCTGTCTCTGTGCATAGTCAGACTCTGAGCTAGAAACCATAAAAAACCTACCAACAATCCGTGAAGTCAGAGGTGCTTGAGGGAGGTGGCAAAAGGCAGGGTTGTCTTCATCGCATCGCGCTTGTCACAGCTGGTGTTGTGTAAAACGGGGACGAGGCTCAGAGATGCTGCTCTGACCCTTCTGCCCCTCAGGGGCTGTGGGGGAAATGGGGTCCCAGCCCTCCAAAGAGCAGCTATCGATGGTTCTCCCACAGCTCCTTACGTTTGGGCAGGATCTGTCCTGTAGTTGCTTTTTAGAAGCATACCTTATTTTTTTTTGCCTTTGCTAATGCTTGTTTTTCTGTACCACTCCAGATGTCTCACTTGGGGCATCGTAGGCTCTGCAGATGCCAGTTTGTTTCTTCTGTGTCTGCTGAGGAGCTGGGGTGGGATTGTGCCCCCTGTTTAGCACAGGCTGTAGTTGTCATGCCATTGCCAGGACAAATCTTAATTCTTGGAGGGGCCCTTCGAAGGCCAGGTTTTGCTGTAGAAGTCCACTGGTGGAGCAGGACTGCTGCTCTCTTGCTCCGTGTGTGCCAGCTGTTGCAGGTGTTTATAAATAAAGCTGCTCTGGCTGGTGAATCTTGGCTCAGGGGAGCTCTAAAACTCGAAAGGCTTGTGGTTGCTCTCTTCTGCCTGCCAGGATATCTGAAATATTTTGTACATCTCCAGGAAAAGATGTATTGATCATATCCATGTATCTATCTGCCACAGTTTGTCTTGATGATTTCCTAATAATTTTCCATTCTGCCACTGAACTACATGATCATGGTCTGAAGGCAAACGTTACAGTGGGAAGGGAGTGGGGAAGACCTGGGAGAGACTGTGCATTGTGGGAGGTGCTCTGAGTTTCCTTTTAGACCTTTCAGATGCAGATGGACCCGCGTCACCTATTGGGCCTGACTCACAGGTCACACTGGACACAGAATTAGGCTGGTGTGGTGGTTTCAAGTCAAACGAAGGAATAGCTTTGTTAATCAGGTATAACCATACAGGGCTCGTTTCCACAGCCTGTTGGGGTGAGAGGTAGAGTAGGAGAAGATGTGTGTAGTGATGGTGAGTGACAGGAGCAGTGTGTATT